GGAAAATGGAGACTCCTACATCAGGATACTCTTCATTGACTACAGCTCCGCCTTCAACACAGTTGTCCCCCACAAACTCACCCACAAATTGTCCACACTGGGTCTGCACCCCACCCTCTGTGACTGGCAGGCCCCAGACTGTCAGGATTGGCAATAGGACTTCAGCCAGAATTATTACGTGAGCAGCTGCTTGTAGAGGGACCTGTCGTTGTTTGGGAGACTATTACTTACAAAGACAGAAAGTCTATATAGGCTTGTTTATCCAGCATACTCATTAGCTATTTCATATAGAATGATAAAAATGATAAACCAAGACGGACCGGTCAACTCTTGACAATTTTACTTTTAATTTTTAAAAATGATAAACCAAGATAACCTAAACTTTATTTGGAGAAATAAATGCCATTATATTATGAAAAACAACGTGAAAAAGGTATGACAATGGGGGACTGAAAGTTATTAACTTTGAATGGCATGATCAAGATAAAATGGTTGCAAGGCTTTATGAAGTAATGGGATTCGATTTGGCATGTGATTCCAAATGCAAATTTTAAAAAAATTGGGGGAATTAAAATTCTTTTAAGTTGTGATTATGAACTCAGTAAGTTGCCTTTGTGTTTATTTGAATTCCATCAACAAGTTCTCCAATATTGGAAACTGGTGTTCAAGCATAACTTTTCTCCACACAATATGCTGATCTGAAACAATCGCTGTATTTTATTTAAGAAAAAAAGAAATCACTATTTATGGAAAACTGGCTGTAAAAGGGGATTTGGTCTATTTCTCATCTAATGGATGGTAGAGGTAATTTATTGACCTTTTCTGGACTACCTATGAAATATAACTTATCTACATCAATAAATACATATGAGAGGATTATTCGTGGTAAATGGTCTGTATTTATATACAGTGGGTACGGAAAGTATTCAGAACCCCTTAAATTTTTCACTCTTTGTTATATTGCAGCCATATGCTAAAATCATTTTAAGTTCATTTTTTTCCTCATTAATGTACACACAGCACCCCATATTGACAGAAAAACACAGAATTGTTGACATTTTTGCAGATTTATTAAAAAAACCCACTGTAGCACATTTTTCCACAGTGTGTTGCACTGGCCAAAGCGCTTTACAGGAGATGATATTCTTTTCCATTCACACACCGATGACGACAGGCTGCCACACAACGGCGCTAGTCAAGCCACCGGGAGCAATTCGGGGTTCAGTGTCTTGCTCAGGCATGCGGGGGAGACTGGGAGTCGAACCACCAACTTGCTGGTCAGGAGATGACTGCCCTAGCTCGTGAGCAACAGCCACCCTTCATGATGTTCCCTTCTATCTTAAACAGATGGTATCACAGGATGATCTGTATTCTTCTGTCAATCCGGTACCATGTCCTTTAAAGGTCAGCAACATAAATGTGGTTGATGAGCAATGTTCCAACTCCTTTATCAGAGAGCAGCTTCTTTATATATGTTATCCTTCATCTGTAAGAAAAAACTATGTATTTGATGGTCTTTCAGGCCATATGGCTTATGAAATAAGGAAGAGGAACATCTCATTCCCCATAATTCCTAAAGCCAAAGAGGTGCACTTCAAGATGCTGAATGAATTCTACCCCTCTAAAGAATTCTTATGATTGAAATTTAACATGGATGATGTTTAACTTTTTAACTCTGAGGCAGAGACCACAGATCATTTGTTTTTCTATTGTGATGTTACATTTAACTTTTGGGCAAATTTAAATGGCTGGCTCAGGTCTAAAATGGACTTCTTAGCACCTTTTGCTTTAGAAAACATCACAATTGGTGTATCTCTGAAAGAAAAAGATGTTGAATTCTTGGTCAATAATTTTATCATTTTGGCAAAATATTATAGTCATAAATGTAAAAGGCGACCTTGTTCAGCTGTGTTTAGGTATGAAATATCTACACTTAAGAAATCCTTGGGTTGCATTAGTTGTAAAGGAGCCGGAAGTCTTCTATCTACAATCAGTCAATTTGATTTACTGTAATCCCCTGGTTATATAAACTTTATTTTTTTTATTTTAATTAATTAATTTATGTTTGTTTTATTCAGATATTAATCTGTGTATGATTTGTTGCCCAGTCCCTTGTGGGTTCTGTAGACAGAACCGCCTCATACAGTATGTCTGTAAATATGATGTTCATAAAAAAAGTCGGCATGCCAGTCCTGATGTCATGAATGCGTTGATTACAGTTATTACTCATGACATTTGCACATATAGCAGGAAACATACTAACCAATTTTGCATGAAGTGAAATAAATGCTTGAAGAGCCAATAAAGGTACATCCGCACTTATGGAAAATGGAGACTCCTACATCAGGATACTCTTCATTGACTACAGCTCCGCCTTCAACACAGTTGTCCCCCAC